CTGTCGCCCAACTTTTACGATCATGCATAACACTTTATCAATGGGACAGAATTGCACGGAAATTTCTTAATTCTGAGTCAGAGGGATAGATAAATCTTTCATTGTCCTTGAAGATAGTAATTCCTTCCTACAAATAGTCACAACAATTGAAATTTAAATGAGAATCGATTTAAAAATTAAAAACACGAAACAAGTAATCATTTCTTTAATCTCAAAAACAATATTCACCCGACTATTTAAATTTTATTCCAACCAAATTAAACTTTGTCTAGCAATTCTTGAAAAACATCTTAACCCTTTCGTTACGATACGCTTATTATTCAACGTTGGCACAAAAATACCTATGATTAAAAATCAACTGAATTTTGGTACTGCCTGACTTTCTGTCGCCAGAAATATTTTATTAGCGAAGCACAAAAATAAATTAAAAAATTCTAACTGTGTGACCCCCGTGGCGAAAGGGTTAAGCATAAAACTCACCACTCCTATCAAACCGACTTTCCAACTTTCCCCCGACCACAAAACCATAAGTACCGAAATTCAATTGAAACCCAATCCTACGAAGAACTGAGCCCCAAAAACAACACAACTTCCAACACCCTTCGTCGCGACGATATTAATCCATTCACCCTGGCTGTCTTCGTGTCCAAACAATCTCCGACTGTAATCAGACAGAAGACGAAGAAGCAGAAGTAAGAAGTGGCAGAAGCAGAAACAGAGCCCGGTTCTTTACGTACTCGAGACGCAATTATACTCGAGACGAGTGTGTCTTCCGTGGTGCACAGCTGCGAGCTCTAGTAGGCACGAATTCCGACAGGGTGGTTACCGGTTAATACGGCAACTTATCCATTTAGGAATACGGTCTAACGCCGCGGCAGAGGGGTTGGTGTTCGCGTGGAACGAGCATCATGAGGGGGGCAGAGGGTTGAGAATCGCGCGAAGAGGCTCGAGAGAGAGAGGGAGGGGAGAGGATCGAGAGTTTCATCAGCGCAGAAGTAACGCGACTGTTACCAAGTTCGGATAAACCGAGGTAAGTTCTCTGGCTGGTACTTACGGGACTGGTTGTCTAGCGACGAAAATGCTCGGACAAAGTTTATTCCCCGCTCGCGAGAAACCCTCCTCGCTGTTTCCTCACCGCCTCCGCAGCCACCCTTCTCCACTCCCCCAAAGGAACAGCGGGGACACTGATTTACATAACGATTAAGTTAATTAACGAGCAGCCGCCACGGCTGGATTGTTAATCCTGGTCGCGAAAGGACGAGTCGCGTCGAACTCTCGCGTTCCGTGGTGTTTCACGTTCAACCAGGGAGAATTATTAGCGGCGCGGTAGTGTGTCGACTATTTCACTTGTAATCGGGCAACTTTGGCGAAATTAAGACCGATTCTAGGCTGTCTCCCTTTGACTTTGCCGCTCGGTGAACTTGCAGAGGAACGTTTCCAAGTGATAATCACTGATATTGATGAAACTTTGGTATACCGTAGTACTGAAAAAAATATTTGACACGTATTTTTTTTTATTGGCAATCGTTCACATTGAAGGGATGAAAATCGCCATGAAAGATGAGCAAAATAAAATAATTTATTAGTTTACTTCTATTTTTCAAATTTGTTGAAAAATGCGAAATTTAGTTGAAAGTACAAATTATGTTTTCATTATAAATTGGAAGTTCTGAATTAATTACATTCTTTAGGTAGATTAAAATTTCAGTAAAAGTATGCTTCAAAGGTGTTAAATGATTGAACAGTTTCAAGGGAAAATAGGATGAATTTAAAACGTTCGAAAAATTCCAGGGGAATAATGATTTTATATTTGATAAGAGTAGAAGAATTAAGCAAGAAGTTACAATTGACGTGTTTCATGAAATATTTCATCGAATGGTAGAGTTAGAAGGAGAAAAAGAAAGTACCTAAAATTTTCATTGGAACGTGAGAGATTCTCGTAAATTCAATCGAATTACCACTGTCAACGTCGAAGACAATACTTTTCTCCCGCACAGTTACAAGATAATATAATAAATCGAAGAAAAAAAAAGAAGTGTACATCTTCCGGGCCAATGCAGCGTCGCGAAATACGTTTCTCGATATTCACGGAATGTGGAGTCAGTGCATTATACCGTGGAATTTTCATTTATCAACTGAGTGAAAGAACAACGTCGACAAAGGAATGTCGATATTAATATCGCGGTGCAGACAAAAGGCACGCGAGGGGACAAAATTGTTCTTGCCGTAAAAGCAGAGAACTTACAAGTATTAAATTTCTTTGAAACCATCACGATTCGTTTCCCACTATGTGTTTCATATTCCACCATCCATGAGAGTGTCTTTCCCTCTCGTATTGTCGCACTTAACATCCTCGGTTTCCGTTCTAGCCGTGTCCGCGAATACTTGCACATATTCTCTCAATTTAATTTTCTCATTTAACTCGCGTGAAGCTTAATATTGTTATACTTTTCAAGATTTCGTTATTAACATCGAGCAGATTTATAAAGTTTCCATCCTCGACCTTTATTATCTCTGTAGTATCGCTATTACATTCAAACAGATCAATCTTTCCAACAAAGTTTCATCGAAAAATCATTCGAAACTTCTATTAAAATTACTAGAAAATTGATTGTTTATAAAATTCGATCTAGAAGTTATAGAATATTCTAAATACAGCTGTTGGAAAAGCGAGACCTTCCCCTTTAATCGTCGTGCAAAGATAACTGTAATTTTTCATACGTTTACATCTCCCTCTCGCTCGCACACTCGGACCTTTCACTCGCACGCATTCGCTTCCCTACCCCAAGCGCAGCATCCTTGCGCTGGTCAGTGCCAGACGCTGAGTCAGGGTTTTTTTTTACTATTACTACTACTACCACTACGCGACGTACGCGTTTCCAGGAAACAATGTAGGTCATGCGAATTTCACCCGCCATTCATATTCTGCCCCGCTCTCGATGCTAAACTTCGAGGTCTTGTAACTCTGAAACGGATTGAGCTATCGACGTGAAACAAAATGCATTTTCAAAGGCGTGATTTTCTCTACCTCCTCAGATGGTTTACGTTTACAATTTTTTACTTTTTTTTTATACGTGTTTTTTTAAACGTTATTAACATTATTTTACGGTTACGAATTTTAATACGCAAAATTATGATTATAGCCAAATAGAAAGAATAAAGAAAATATGTGTATTGAATGGTAATTTTTTTTATAGAGAAAGACTATGGTTTAAATTAATAGTGTTATTTATCTAAATTGTAGTTTATTTTTCGGTTAAGTTAACTTTGTGAAATTTATCTCATGTTTCATTTTCACGAATTTTGAGCATAAAAATGGTGGTTCCGGTGTATTTCTACGTAACAGAAAAATTGAAAGTGTCGGTTGATTTACCGTGAACACGAGAATTAATCCGACAGCCGCGTAAAATACAGAATGTTCAAAGTGGAGGATATAGCCAGGCTTGGCTCAGGAATTAAAGTGCTTCAACGCGGCTGCTGCTCCTTGCAGATAAGATTCTCATTGTCCGTCAAGGTCACGGAATATTTGTTCGATCCTGCTCTCTCCTCTGAACGGTTTTGATTCTCCAAGGATTACCTTGAATCTCTGTGGGAACTCTTTCAGTACCGAAGAAGCTCCTGTTTTTGCTATTTCCGCTTGTTCATCCCCTTTTTCCACCCCGACAATTTCTCACAGATATTCGACTCGCTGTTTTGCAAAATTAATGCACTCACCGCGCTTAATCTTTTGCTTTTATCTTCTAATTAAATTCCCATATAATTCAGTTTTGTAATGAAAATTAATTTATCAATATTCTTCAATATAAAACATCTAAAAAAAAGAAACATTTTTTCTGTTTTCCTCCAATTACAAAATCAAAGTGAGCAAATTTAATACATTTTCACGTGATCACTAATTAATCCTGCAATTTAATTTAAAATTCAATATAACCACAGAAGTATACATCTCTTTTCACTGAAACAAAATTTTACAAGTACTAACTAAACAAAAATTACTAAAATCTTCATCAATTACATATTGTACCTATTGTTTATAATGTAAATCGTACTGTTAATATGTTAAGAAATAAATTCTCCAGGAACTTCGACGACAATTTTCATTTGACAGCATTAAGATACCACCGATTGACTGTCTACAATATTCTATTTCCCCTTTAAGGACTTTCTCATAAAATTGTCGCGCGACGATCTCGAGGATCATCGGGCTCCCTCGCCACGGCTCGAATTCACCCTCGACGGAAAATTGACGAGCGAGGATTGTGACGTCTTACGACCCCCGGCTAGAGTAAACACATTTTCGTGGAGTTTGGCAAGGAAAAATCGAGCCTCCGCCGATTTCAACGCGACGTGAGCACACACTCGAATGTCTGCGTTTCGTCGGAATTTGCAACCCCCGACCGAAGGGGGAACTCGCTGAAATTGCTTTCGATGTGTGCGTTCGAACGCTTCCCCTTCCGATATATCTGTTTATCGAGAGATCAGCACCGTGCCGGTTTTTTTTTCAATCGAAAAAGAACCACCGAATTTTATTGAGAGTAACCTTATGTTTCAGATGAGAGACACTTTTATATAAAAAATAAGAAGTAATTACTAATAGGTAGAGATATTAATTTTTGAGGACCTAGAGAAAATAATTTATTGAAGTGATAATTGATTTGTTGTGAAATTTTGTTCCTAAGATTTTTTAAATTATACAAATTATTAGAGATGTTAAATATAAATTATTAAGAAGCTACACTAATCAGTGCAGTTTCAGAATTTTTTAAACCTCACACGAAGTGAAGGAAATTATTTTGTCCATTTGGTATAGATAGTTTATGCATTTAAATTGGTTATTTTGTCGGTATTACGCGGAAACTTGTACACTGTTAATTTTAATGTATTCATGTCACGAATTGGAAATGTGTTTCATCTTTAACACTGGAATAATCGAGAGTCTGAACAGTTCTCCTGGAATATTACAATTTTCCAAGGAAAACGATGAAAAAATAGGTACTCACGATATCGAAGTCTAGATTCTCGGCGATCCAGTCGCGGCCCTGCTTGAATTCGTCGTGAAGACCCATGATGTAGAGAGTGTCGAGGCCATCGACGATGGTTGCACCCATATTCGAAGCACCGAATATGCTGGCGCTGTGACCTCTCTTAGAGATCGGTCTCAATTCGTTCTTTCCCCAAGCATACCTCACGTAGTTGTCCCAGCCATGTTTCATCATCTGCAAAAGAAAAAAGTGAACAGTGAGAACGGACAATTCGACACAACAAATCTTCATTTACGAGAAATTATGAGATTTAAATTACAAATAAATCTGTGGCCCGAGTTCTGTTTTATAAATTTCCACTCCGTTAATTACTATAAAATTAAACATTAAAGTTATTATGTTACTCAACGAAACAAAAATGAAAATTGAGATTAGACACGATAAATTTTTATTTGTGACAAATTACGAATAAATCTGTGGTCCGAGTTCTTTCTTTAATTAATGTAAAATTAAACATTGAAGTTATCGTGGTATTTAAAATTAAGGGAGAAACATAGATTAAAGGAGGAATTTCACCGTATTTCACTGACTTCTCTCGTTCGACATTCTCAACCGTGTTTCTAAATAAATTCAAGGGAGTCTTCCGTCTCGATTTACTCGGTAAATTGTTTTCAGGCAATTTTCCGCCGCATCTGATGTCTTCCTATACATCAATGACGACCGTAATTATTACCATTCTCCAGCAGCTTTGTAAGTGAATGAAATAATGGTTGGTTGCATCCTGTACGTGTTTACGCTGGTAATTACGCGGCAAGATGAGTTTTCAAGTAAAGAGCGGTGAAAAACTGACGCGTGGCTAGGCAAGGATGCCTCCGGGTCTTCCAAGAGGTTCACTTCAGTCACGCTGACAGTCATTTGTTCTCTCTTTCCTCGTTCGAGCCTCTTCTTCTTCGTGGTTTCTTGCATCGAAGGCACGCTTCCTTCTCAGAGTTTGTTCTACCTTCGTTGAAATGTACAGTGCTTCTTCGCGGAGATTTTTCCAAGAAAGATACCCGGTTTCAATGGGTTCCGAGAAACGAAGCTTTTTCTTTCGTCCTTTTCTAGCTTTTTTTCAAAAAGCAAACTTCAAGACGTTACACAGTGAATTGTGCAGAACTCAATTTCGCTATTAAAGCTTTGTCTCGTTTTCTTTAAACATAACGCAGTTTGGATATTTTTCATGGAGTACCGAGCTTTTATTTAATATTTCTCATAAATCATAAATGCAGTAACTTGATAATATTCGAGAGAATCGTAAAACCAATTATATTACCAATTTATATAATTACAAAGCCTCAAAAGTCGATAAAAATTCAACGAATTTATGAAATTAGCTTTTCGATAATTGTACAACTTTCATTTATACGTCAGTTATTAAATATTAAGAAAACTGAAAATTTAATAATTTAAAAATTCCAAAAAATGCTTTGCAGTGTCATTCGACTAATAAAAAAAATTCTCCAACGCTAAATAAAAACCTTGGAAGCCTTTGAAACCTGCCACTTCGAGCTGAACAAATAACGTACACTGTCGAAACGCAGTTACCCATTCGAATAAAGTACAAAAGGCCCCCGCGCGAAATATAAACAACGAAGGAAGAAATTTGCGGACGCTCGTAATTCTGTTCGAAAGATTCATCAAACGCGTCGCGGTGGACAGAAATAATGGACGGATCCCTTGGTCGGTGGTATGGGGCAGAGGACAGCAACGCGAATCGTACCAAGAAAAACGAATATATTAGCCTGTCCGGCCGTTCGTTGACCATTATTTCCATTCTCTTTGATTTTTCGAGCCATTTGCTGGCCTCCGTCAGTCCGCGGCCGCTTCATCACGTTTTTATGGCGGTATAATTCAAGGGCAGTATAATATCTGTGGGCCCTGGCTGGTGGCACCAACAGAAGTGAGTCCTTCTCTCTTGGCCTCTGCGGTCATCCTGGGTAAAAAAACGATAAATCGGGGGAGCGGGAGGGACAAGGATCAACGAACGCGGTTGCGTGGAATTTCTCTTTTTTTCCCAGGATTTTTCTTTCTTCTTTTTTTGCACGAATGCGGTGATATTCATGACGGATGAAGATGGAAGGAGAAATTCGGGAGCAAGTGCACGCAGTAGAGTTCTTCGTCGATGAACTTTCGCGGGTGAGCAGAGAAAGAGAAAGAGAGTGCTCATTGTGTGTGCGCGTCTGCTACTTTGTTTCGTGGACGGAATAATTTCGCGGCACGGAAGATTCGATGTAAGCAGATTTTGATCGAGTTTTAATGCGACGCTCGTGTGTAGAGAGAAGGTTTTCGCTACTCGTTCGCTGCTCTCGCCAGATTCTCACGTAAATTATTTCGTCGAGTTAAATTGTACGGTTGTAAATTGGAGATTTCGAGGGAAGGAATTTTCTAATTCACGACTGATTGAAAAATGGTGCCGCTGGAACGATGTTTGTGAAGAAACAAGGATGAAAGAAACGTGGAGCAATTATGGATGTTCACGAATCAGAGATTAAATCGTGAGATGATAAATGGTGATGTTGAATTTGCGTTTTCGACCTCTATCGAATGATAGTCTTTTTTTTTTAATAAAAGGGATAAATGCGCTGAATGAGACGAGATCTAATTTTTGAAATTATCAGGTTGAATATTCGCGTATCAGTTGAAGGGGATCAAAGTATTTCTGCATGTGTGCTTTCGAAACCTCATTTTCCAGCCTCGTTTCTCAATCAAATTTCTCTTGCTCCGTTTCCAAAGTCGCTTCTTCAACGCGTTTCAATTTTCCTTTCTGCTGTTCCAAAGTTATTACAGGAGCATACGGGTTTAATAATTTGCGGATGAAAATCAACAGTGGAAAATGGTTGCTGCTGCCTTTCGTTAACGATGCACTTTGCAGATCAATTTTTTATCAATTTTCTCATATTTACTACATCGTGTTTGATTTTAAAGGCTTCAATTTTAAGATCAGAAGTTAATTAATAATTCAATTCCAGTGTAGCTTCTCAAAAGGATTATTAAATGGGAGGAGAGCTGATACGGGGAATTTTGCTGAGCTATTAATGGAAAATACCTTTCGTTTTATAAATGTCATTTTTCGTAGAAATTCTTTTCTATTACAAATATTTATCTATGTATTGGAAGAAGAGCCCAATTTATAAAGAAAAAAATACCTTTCTATTCAACAAAAGTAAAAGCACTTCTGTTGTTTCATAAATCTCCACTTAATTCAATTCTCCTTCTTTTCTCACTGACCAAAAATCGAAAATTTCTCAGTATATCAATAACATACAGTATTTCCTTCTACCTTAAATTATTTAACTATCCAAAAATAACGACTTTCTACGGCAAAAATTTTTTCCCACGCAAAGAAACGCGGCATTTTCCCGTGAAGCCAGCGGCACGAAATCGAAGCAGCATAATCTCGTAAGAAGAGGACGGCGAAGGCAAAGTAGGAACAATCTCAGTCGAGTCTGGCAGCCGTAGAAGGGAGCGACATTGCAGAAAATTGCAGAAGGCAGCCACCGTGGCTAGTGGTGGCGTGAATCGCGACGTTCGATCCTTTTTGTCGTTATCCACGTAATCGTAGCTAATTTGTTCTGCGGCGACCGCAGGGAACGTGAATGGGACGAGCAGCTCTCTCTCTCTCTCGTTTCGTCTTGGTTCGTAATCTGGTTAACATCCGTGTTAGGATTAAACCATTAGCCTGGCGGGAAAGGATACGGAAGGAACAAACAGGGAAGTCTGAAACCCATGTACGACGTGCGCGGTCTTGTTCGATTATTTCTCCTCTGGTTACAGGATCATGGTGAAGCCTGATTTTAACGATTTCTTGTTGCTCTTTCAAGAGGTTGTATAAACTTGTCGAAGTTCCGTGGAATTTCAAGGGGGGATTCTCTTGCAATATTTCAGATAGCTCAAGTTGCATGTAAATTAAGCAATTTTGATGTCTCGATGAATTATGGTTCTTTTCTTTGAGAGGATTAATCATTGTTAAGAAGATTGTAAATATTCATGGAAATTTGATGGAATAAAACAAGAATTCTCTAACGATTTATTTAGAACTTCGAAGAAGAAATGTCGAAAAATAAGAAGTAAGGCAATGAAGAAAATAAACATTTTATTATCTCAGATTTTTCAACAAAAACAATTAATGTCTTCTATTAAATATTTACAGATACACTAAGTTTTTCAAGACAATTAAAATAATTTAAATCCTCGCCTTTCTTCTTAATTTCACCGAACTACAAAGTATTGTGAACAAATAGTTAGGCAAATACTCACGACCGGTAATCTATACTTAATTCTCCAGACAGCTTCTGAATTTTTCAAAAATCAGGAAGTTCAAGGAACTGAAGCAATCCGAAGAAGCGAGCTTATTAAAAAGAAATGTCTCGTTAAATTCTTAAGACACGGTCCTCGTTTAATTCGCGCAGGTTAACGAGAGAGAGAACCAAGAGAATCCAGATACTTTGCACAGTGCAGTAGCGAGGGGCAATTTCCGCGAATAAGCTCGCGGAGGAAGTGGCATCGACGGGCCACTCGAGGGAGCTTCTCTTCTCGAGCTTGCGAAAGGGAAAATTTCTTTTCACGGGAACGCTGGTGCGCGTTTTCATTAATAAACAAATGGCGAGAGAGGGCCGCGCGGGAATCGAAAAATATGAGCACGCACGCACGCACGCACGCACGCACACAGAGAGAGAGAGAGAGAGAGAGAGAGAGGGAGAGAGAGAGAGAGGGAGAGAGAGAGAGCGTGAGAGAGAAAGCCTCTTCGCTTGGTCGATTGAGCATGCACCGGTCGGATAAATAAAATGAAAAAAAAAAGAATAGTGAGAGAGAGAGAATAAGGGGAAAAATCGACTCGGAGGCACTTCGATGCGCTCCCGAGAATAGGTGCACACACTGCGCAATACAAACGCGCCCATATACGCGACGATGCTTCGGGGATCAGTCACCGTGTGATTCGATTGATGAAAACCGATTTGCTGGAGAATTGATTTCTCCGCGAAAAGACGGGATAAACGCCTTTTTGCCTCCAACCGTTCATTTTTATCAATTTTTTGGAATACCGAACTCGCAGTAACTTTTTTTTTAACGAATGTGTACGGTGCTCTTTGATACTTGTTATTTTGATAAACTTGAATGAGAATAGAATAAAATGTGATGTAGGATTTTGTTCATTTCGTAATTTTTAATTTTCACAAGCTATTTTAGAAATTTATTATAGTTACTGTTTTTTGTGGAATATGAATTTAATATTCTGAAACAGACCTCTTTTTCAATCCAATATAAAGAGAAGAATATAAGATTCTTTTACCTTGCATTCAATTTCATTTGTTCCTAATTTAACAGAATTGAACAGAAAAAGTAACTAATTAAATCGATAAAGTCTTGCTATTTCAAAGCTAACTAAACGCACCTAGCACACACATCCTGACAAACCTAGACGCGAAAAAACATCCAGCTAATTCGGCAAACGTGCACAAGGCGGCTTATCGAATTGCCGCTGCTAACAATTTATCTTGTTAAATATCACCTGTTTGACGTATCAACTAACAGCTATTTACAAAGCCTGCGTTGCCCTACAAATAATTGCCCGTTTGCTCACGTTCGAGTAAACGGCTTTGTTTACCCATCGCGCCAAAATTAATTGCCAATTAATTCAATAGCGTTCACCTTTGTTCATAAAAACCTCACAAAAAAAAAAGAAATGAGGAGAAAATGAAACTAAAATGAATTTAAAACAAGGAAATAAAAAAAGGAGCAATAAAGGATCAAGAATTATTTTCCATCAGGAAAATAATAAAATTGACCTTAGCCGAAACGAGCGATCGTTTCGCGTGCACGATCGTTCTCTAACCGGTCAGAGACTGAAACACGCTCCGCGTCCGAGGAACGTAAAATCGTCAATGTGTCACGGTGGTGCAGCAGGGTGCACAGATACCCGGCCGGATCGCATAAACGCACGAACGCAGGCACGCGTGTACGCGAGCTAGCCACTAGGAAACTGAATCTCCCGGCGATATACATGTATAACTGTACTTAACCTGGCTGCGGTTTTATTCCCTCCCTTTATTTCCCGCGGTTTTCAATTTACGTTATTTATTGCCCGGCTGGCCAGCGTACCAGCCGTGTCGGCGTCCCACAGTGATTTTACGAAATCTGCCATCGAGTCTCCCCCCCCCCCCCCACTCTCTCTCTCTCTCCCCCCTCTTTCTCTTTTTCTCTTCCCTTTTCATTCTTTTTCGCTCGCAGTTTTTACCCGTACACTTCTATCTCCATTCTGCACGATGCTCGCGTTTTTATACCTCTCGGTTGTCCCGTGTATATCAATTCCTCGATTCTACATCCCCCATTTTCCCTCCCTTTAATCCCGATTCTGTTTCTCGATTTGTTCCTACAGTTCGATTCTATTTTTTAGCTGCGCTTTGTTTATTCCCCCTTCGATTCCTTCGTTTTTTCCCATGTTCTTCTATTTTCATTTTTCCATTGTACTTCCAGCAGAATGAGAAGCTACCTTTCTCTCTCTTAGTGTGCGTGTGCCTGTTTGCTTCCGAGAAATTCTCTCTTCTTTTCGTATATCTTCACCTCTTTCGCGTTCCTTCTCTTTATTTCTTCTTTTCACCGTTCTTCCGTGCATACATCTCTCTTTGTGCTTTTGTATTCCAAGTGTATCTCTCCCACACGCCTCTTCAATTCTATTCTTCCTTTCTCGCGTGTTTATCTTTCTTCGCTTTCCATTTCGTACACAGTTCTGTTTTTCTCCTTTTCTTAGATTCACATACATACGTCACCCTCTTTTCCATTATTTCCATTTTTCTCCGGATTCTATTTCATTCCGTTGGTCCTCTCTCTGTGCTGTGTACCAACGATATTTTTCGGCGTGACGCCCGACCCTGTCGCCCAAAGATCGAGATCGCGATACCATTTAAAGTGTCGCCTTGCCCCTCGTAAAAGGCTTAGACGGTTTATGATTCGCCCGACGCTGAGATATTACGCGGTTTCGCCGCGAGAGCCTCGCTCGCTCTGCTGGCTCCATTAAATTTCGCAGCCACGCAGAAGAATGCAGGCCCCACTCGCCTCCTCTCCCTGTTCCGGGTATCCTCCACGGGGTTTATTCGTTTCCGATAAGGCTAAAAATTCGGGTAGAATTAGCTTCGGCAATATAGAAGACTCTCTTTCTTCGCTAGAAGGCAGCAGGAGATTTTTTATCTCAACTTTATTTCGTGGAAATGGAACGACGATCAAATTTCACATTTCGAATGGTATAAAAAGAAGAAAATGTAATTGTTAATGCTTAGGATTTTTATGGTAACAACTGGTTTTTTGTAAACAGAGTTAATTGCTTTGAAGAGTGACTGTTTGATGAAAATTTCTTTGCAAATTGAGGGAAGTTTTTTTAATCACCACTTTGATACCTAAATAATCTTAGTGATAATTTAAATTTACTGCTATCATAAAGCATTGGAATAATAAATTAGCCACGTTGCAATAATTTGTAAATCATCTTTTAATTAATTTCAACATGTTAACGTTCGATTTTCATATTTCCACAAACCCATAATTCCATTTCATAATTCCACAATAAACATAAGAAACCCATGCAACACCGAGTAGCTTATACTACTGTTCTAAAAAAAATTCCAAAGCAATTTAATTCAATTTAGCAAATTTCAAGATTATTTCGCTGGAAATGAAAATGAACAACAGCCATGAAACGCGATGTTAGTGAAAGTATCAACAGTTCATTCCCTGCAACATCTCGGTTTCAGTTGTTCGTACATATTAAGAAATTATCATGGAGGGTGGAGAAACTTCTTTAATAAAAGATATTCGTTGAATTTTATTTCTGCTCGCAGGATACACAGCTCACGATCTCCCTTTGTATCCAATGGGGGAATGGGCAAGTTGTGTTCTGACTCGTTGGAAAAGTTTCGCCCTTTTTCTCTCGTTTATCGGTGTAAGTGGTTTGGTGGGATCTTCGTTAAAAATATCCTGGCTGGATCTTCGGTAGATTGCAGGATAGCATGAAAATACGACGAAACGTACGGTAAATATCGTACGATCCGGACTGATGACAGAACAAACAACGAGCAACCAAGAATAGGAAACATCCGGATGGAAAGAGAGATTCCCAAAGGTACTTCGAAGCATCCGGAATTTAAAAGAATTCTACCCTTGACTTCGTTACCTTTATCTACCTCGATCTTCTTCTTTTTCTTCATCTTCTATTTCTGCTGCGTAACTTCCCAAAGCTGTTTGAATCCCGTTACTTTTTTTTTCTCCAGCAAGTAACGGGGAATTTCATTTATCCGTCAATTTAATTATCTTTATCAAGATAATCATACTACTCGAAGCAACGTAGAATTTCACGCATTTCTTATAACGGAATTAACTTGGAGATGTTGATAATATTAGCGTTGGAAATTGATTTAACTGCACGCTAAACACTTGCTCATTATGCAACTTCAAAACTAATATGTTCGTGTAGTACCGCTCATATCTTACTCGTGATACATTAAACACGGTATTACATATATTCCAACCAAACCTAAAAGTCCAACATTCTGTGATACCGTGAGCCACCAACCAGAAACAGTACAACGCGTAACGTTAAGTTTCTAGGTAATAAAGCCTAATCCTGATTAATATTATGCGGAACGTGTTCTAGTGAGTGTCTGGTAATTATAAGCTAGAATCTGGGAACTCGAAAGCGTATATTATTCTCTGATACATTGAAAACTTTCCCAATTTCCTTCCTGTAATTTTTACTAAGTTCTAATCAAAATGGTAATCTCAATAACAATAACTCTTTTGTGTGAATTCAGTAAATAAATAAAGGAAGAGGAAAGGTTTTCATTCTTCTCATACTTTTTTTTTAAATCACTCGAATTCGTTGGATGTGACAGTTTCAATTCTTTTTTTGGGGGGAATTAATTCTTACAAGCGACTTAACTTTCATTTTTACAAAGGACAACGAGTTCTATTTACCGGATGAAGTGAAGTTCGATCGTCGTTCCAGCTACTGTCAATTTTTCCTACCCGTTCACCGTAAAATTACGTTTAGCCATCCTGAGGGACGCAACGAGATTCGTGTGCACGCGGCAGCAGTCTCCTTCGACGTCCCGAAGGATCGACGGAAGGCGTCGAAGCGGGAGAACTCATCTTCACGGCAGGACGAGCCCAATTATAGCGTCAACTCGTTACCGGATGTCATTAAGCGAGAGGGACGGTTAACGGGGGTTCTTCCATGGAGAGGATCCAGCGATTGGAAAATCGTTCGAAAACGCGGGATGATTTGAAGAACGTCGCCGCGTCTAGAAACGTGAGAACGAAACGCGAAGATTTTATCGTGTACTTTTTTTTCTTTCCCCTTTTTTTCTTCTCCTTTTTAAGTGAGGAAGTAATAAGTATGATAATGGGATCTTCTAAAGTGACGCAGAATGTGTTGGAGATTTTTCAAATACTTTACATGAGAAGTTGGTTGCAGGAAGTTTTACAAAGTCTCTTTTTATCGGCAAGCGGATAAGAATGTTGATCGAAATTACGGTGAGAAGGTATACACGGGTTTGAATATAAAAGGGCATAAAATGCTTCCTTTCTTACCCGGAATTGTACGAGTTTCTGCGTAGGTTGTGAAAGAATCGTGTTTCTCAGGTGCGTTTTATGCACCTTTTGTTGTTCGTATATCGAGACAGATTTAATTGAATTTTTATGCTTGTTAAATTCAACGAGCCTAACAATTTTAAGAGAAAATTCACTACACTTTGCTGGAAGTAAAGTAAGTTGTTATTAACTCCTACGAAATTAATTTTAAATTGTTATAATCATACAGGTGTCGGTCCACGTATTTTAGACGAAAGAAACAAGAAAATAATCAAAAAGGAGACACCTAATATCTGCTAATCCTCCACAGAGAAAGGGAAACCTTATCAATAGTCAGCATCATCTAATAAGAAGCTAGAACTACGTTATTTTACATCAATAATCAACATGGTCTTCTACAGCAAAACTCCACTAATCACCGAAATCTTAGCGAATCCCTAAGGATCTTGCAGTTCCAGGACCGCCAATCTCCAAGTGGCAGGAGTCGACCGCGAGACACGATCAACGTTGCCCCATAGCCATCAGCCGCAGAACATGTTCGTCGCCGTGAAAAGTGGGAAATTTGCTAAAATACATATCACAGTCGCAGTTTAATCAATCCGTAGCCTCAACGAGACACGTTGAACGCGCGATTCGGCCCTGCCACGGCATAGGAACGCGGGAGGATTCCGCGCGTCTTACACGCCTGTGATCGCAGGCGACACCTCAGAAACTCGGGTACTTGGCTACCTGTTTCTTGGGTGGATCGAATAGACGAAAGAAGAGAGCGACAGAGAGACGGGGAGGGAAGAGAAAGTGAGGGGTGAAAGGGAAAAGAGATAGAGAGATGGAGAGAGACAGAAAAAGAGAAGGAAGAGGCGAGAGACAGTGAGATACAGAGAAAAAAAGAAGAGAGGATACACAGAGAGACAGTGAGAGAAATAGAGAGAGATGAAAGGAGAAAGAGAAATAGAGAGGAGAGACAGAGGGATGGAAAGAGGAGCAGAGACAGAGATGGAACGAGAAGGAGAGAAGGGTATGAGGATCCAGAGGGATCGAGAGAGAGAGCTGGCAAAAGACGAGAAGACCGGAATTCTACACCGACGACGACCCTCCGAAGCTATACTACAATTATGTCTTTGTTTATGCCTTTGTCGTGGTTCAAGTCACGCACATTGTGCCGCTTCAGGCTAATAGCGTGAATTATTCTTCGCCCAAGCGACCGACACCCTCATCCCTCTCCTCTTCATGGGATCTTATTCTCTGATCTGTAAATGAAAGCTGGCACCAACGGACCGCTTACGGGACGATTTCTCTCAATCCCCAGGCGTTTCTGTCTCTTTATACGCCGATGGTAAAGGTGTACCGGGTGTCTTGCTGGTCTGGGACACGGTTCGAGGGGTCGCCAGTTGGGAGAAAGTTAAAAAGGGAGATGCTCAGTTTGAAATTCTGAACAACGGCGAAAAAGACAATCGAGGTTTTTTCTTTTCGGTGGGAGAGTTTTTCTTTTAAATTGTCATGGAGTGGACTTGTCTTGGGTAGATTGCTTCCGTTTGTTTGCAGGTTGTTAGAGGGTTTCTTGGTTTGGCGGTCAGTTGATTGGATGTGGTTTTGGAATAAATATTTACGAGGGATTGTGAAGTGAATGCTGCTGCGGTAGAATGTCTTCGTGAGATTAGGTAGAATAAATCTTAACCTTCTTTAACGGGTATAAGTCTGTACTTTATGGAAGTTTTCCATAATATTAAATAGAATAAATTTGAACATTTTATAATACCACATAATTTGAATGCACCCGGTGTATCTCTCCTCGAAAGCAGAGAAAAATCATTCTCTGCCGTAATATTAAATATTCTTTTAAATTCGTTATTTCACAGGATTTCCTGCGAATATTAAAATTAATTTTTTTCTCGAATATTATTTCAACCGAATCCATTAGCCGAGTCAAATCAAGCTCCATATACAGTTAAATATTTTATCAATTAATATCAACGTTGATTGAATGCCCTTTTCACGAGAAAACCATCAATAACTTTCAGTAAAATGTCGGTACATATATTTGCTTTTCAAACGAGAACACGTCTTGCGCACGTCCAAATGAATTTTTATCAAACCGAATTCCGAATTCCGTCCAAATCCTGTACATTGTACACACATCTTTAATTTATTCTTGTACATCGTTGGATGTAATACTACAAAAACACCACAGACATCAGTTATACTTTTCATCCAACCATCTGACACGCTTCACCGAATTTCTCATTAGCCAGGGGCGGCCACAGTACGCGATTTAAGGTATACCCTGTACTCGTCTCCCACTCTTCATCCCTTCCATCGTCTATCGTTTCTCCCTTAACCAGCGTCTCATTAAAAGGAACCGCTTCCATTGTGCCAGACCCGTTCACCCGACGAACAATGCGACTTTGTCGGAAGGTGCATTCGTTCGAACATCATCACGCGCCCCTCAGACCCATCCCCTACACCGGAAATGGTAATCAGAGTTGGGGAAAATCTTTCTTCTGACGATACGCACCGGTTTAAAGCTGTTGTACTCTCGAAAAAATGGCTAATTTATGGAAGATATTAGCAGTGAACAGAGTTCCATAAAATAAAGTAGATGAAATAATTATTAATTCTCTATCTTTTTCTATCAGAGTGAGAGATTGTAATTAACTATTATTTTTATCCTCGTGAGTAAAGAAAAATCATGTAAAGATAAATTTGAGATTTATTTTAGATCAATTTTCGTTTAATTTACTTTTCTGATAATTTAAGTCTCTAAAATATTTTGCAATTTTATAGTAACGGTGTTCGGTAATTAATCACGGATAATTAAAGTAATCCTCGGTGAAAATCAATTTCAGACTGATAGTTACTATAAATCTAAAATCTTCATAAATTTCTAAATGCGGAAAAAATAATATTCTCTATGGGAAAATAATAGAGAAATTCTTAAGGTAGTGCAATTCTATTCTCGGTTAACGTACGATGTTAGTCTGCACGATTTACATGCGTGCCGATAATTAGAGGCAACGTTTAAAGCGCGATCCCTAATACGCTGGGATTAGCGAACGTTTGAGTAACGCGCTGCTTGGCCCGTGTAATCAGATCGACGTCGCGTAGAATCGATTCTGACGCTATTCGGGCCGTGTTACGCGAGCTTTCGGTGCTAGAAAGACGTTTCCCAAGAAATTTGGGTCAGAGACTACTCCAAGTTTCTCTGACCCATGCGTAAGGAGCTTTTCGTCTTATGAAAGATTGATCGTTATCGATGTTTCTTTAGCTGATGTGCTATACAATTAAAAGTTTCTATTATCTACCTTTAAGAAAATTGCTTCAGTTATTGTTTCGCGATTGATAAGAAATAGTGACACGAGAAATACGTAATTTACTGCCTGTTTCTTTACTGAGAAAGTGTGGAAACTAGTTCAGTTACAATTTATCCCTTTGCATTCCACTGCCATAACTTCATTCAAGTTTTATTTATATTAAAATTAAGCAAAGTCATGTTTTACTTACATACAAATTCACTGTAGAAAATCGCTAATGGGTCATTTTGACCTAGTTAATTCTACATTCAATTAATTACAATCACCACTTACAAGATACACCTCTAACGAAACAACACTACACCAAATAA